TTTTCCACCTGTTTCTGTTACTCCCATCCCGACCCCCATTACTAACCTTCCTTCTTTAATTCCCAGCTTAATTGACAGCAACCGAAATGCCACTGGAGTAGAACCATCTGCAGCCACCACACCGCACCTATCGGAAGCCTATCGGCAAAAGTCCCTTATGAGGCCACGCTATCCAGTTTCCATGACGACATGCAACGTTCGCACTCTAAGCCAAACAGGTCAACAGGCTACACTCGCACGCACCTTGGACACGCTGGGCATTGATGTGCGTTGTGTGTCCGAAACTAAGATAAAGGACCCCAACGGGGTTACTGAATTAACTGCACCCGGCTTATCCTCTCGTTATTGGTTGCACGCATCCGGAGACGCCGATACAGCACTCACGGATCAAACTGGTGTAGGTATCATTCTCAGCTCCAAGGCTGAGCCATCGTTGGTTGATTGGATTCCGGTGAACAGCCATTTATGTGCACCCCGTCTGACGACATCAGCTAAGGTTGATTCACGAAGTAAAACAAAACGCTGTTTGTTTGTGATTTCCGCTTATGCTCCCACCGATTGCAGTTCAGGTGAAGCCAAGGACACGTTGTAACAAGAACTGAACGCGCTACTATACAGTGCCACCAGTTAAGCTATTATAGTACTTGCAGGGGATATGAACGCACAAGTTGGGCGTCTGAGCTCTTCAGAAGCTCAGCTGGGTAGTAATTGTGGACTTAACTCCGAACGGACTGACAACGGTCAGCGTCTGTTTCAACTGTGTGCGGAGCACCAGTTGTTTCTTAGCAGAACTGCTTTTGGACACAGTGGGCGCCGAAGTGCCACTTGGCGTCCCCTTGTAGCTGGCCAGCGACGGACCCAAATTGACCACATAGCCATAAGTTACAGATGGCGTGGTTCCATCCTGGATTGCCGCTCATACTGGAGTACCTGTGTAGACTCTGATCATGCCTTGGTACGCTATCGTTGCTCCATGAACTTTACCGGGAGGCGCACCAAGTGTCTCCTACGACTGGCAACGGAGAAATTGTCTCAGCCCTTGGTCAGACAAGCCTATCAAGAAGCACTGTATACCGAACTTCCGCTGTCTTGTCCTAATGACACTGAGCTTCAGTGGAATAGGATCTCGGCGGCCATGTACGACGCAGGAGCATCTGCTTGTGACGCTATCCATCGTCACTGCTCCAGTCACGGGATATCCGAGAGGTCGGTGAACCTGTTAGAATCTAGAAGACACCTCCCGGCTGGCTCTGAATACAATGTGACCAGACGGACTATTAGACACGAACCAAAGCGGAGGCTACGTGCTGACAAGGAAGCCTGGTGGACCAGTAGGGCTCAAAAAATGAAGGAGGCAGGAGCAGTAGGCAATTACCGCAAGCTCTTCCAGCTAATTCGCACCACTGGTCCCAGAAAAGCAGGCATCAGTGAGACAATCAGAGACAGCGCGGGTGCGCTGATACACAATAAGGAGCGCCATATGGCTCGTTGGGCGGAACACTTTCAAGACCAGTTCAGCTAGCGCCCTGCTCCCGGACCTCTTCCTACTCAGGTGACGCAGGACGAGCCATGGACGGTTAGTTTAGAGTCTCCGTCGGAGGTCGAGGTCCGAAACGCGATCACAGCCCTCAATCGTTTTCGTACCGCTGGCCTAGATTCCCTCCCACCTGCACTATTTAAGGATGGAGGTGAGGTCCTCTGCAAAGCACTGACCTCCCTATTCGAACGTATCTGGAACGAAGAGAGTGTGCCGGCTAATTGGAGCGAATAGATTAGTGGCAATGTACAAGAAGGGCAGTCGCACAGACTGTTCTAACCACAGGGGTATTAGCTTAACGCCAATTGTAACAAAATTATTGGCTTCGATTATCGTTCGCCGCCTCACTGGGGAACGGGAATCTCGGATTAGGGAAGAGCAGGCCGGTTTTCGCCCAGGACGTGGCTGTATAGACCATTTATTCACTTTGCGGCACGTGCTAGAGCAGCGCCATGCATACCGCAGATCGACATTTGCTGTGTTCCTCGATTTCAAGAGTGCGTTCGATTCAGTCGCTTGATCGATTCTGTTCGAAATACTTGCGCGGAAAGGTGTTCCCACGAAATATGTGAACATCCTTCGTGCTCTATACTCGAACACTACAGGCAGCCTCAGGGTCTGTGGTGTCCTATCGGATAGCTTTCCGACCACAAGTGGCGTTCGTCAGGGTTGTCCGATTTCCCCATTTTTGTTCAATTTCGTCGTGGATTCTATCATGGAGTGTTCCCTTGCGGAATCCAACGATGTAGGCGTTGAAGTGCTGCCTGGTGAAAGGTTAGTTGATCTAGATTATGCGGCCGATATCGTCCTGCTTTTCGACGATGTTGAGGCGGCACAATTAACCCTGAATGGCCTGTCCAGAGTGGTCCCATTATTTGGTATGCACTTCGCACCTTCGACGTGCAAAGTGTTGATGCAGGACCACCAGCCACTTGATGACCCTTGACGCTTGCTAACGAAGAACTCGAGGTGGTTGATCATTTCACTTATCTTGGCAGATGCATCAGCAATGATGGGCGCATAGAGACTGACGTCAGCTCACGCATTGCAAAAGCCAGAGCTACCTTCTTGAACCTGCGGCATCTTTGGCGACAGAAGGGAGTTTCCCTCAGTCTGAAAAGCCGTGTATACAAGACCACAGTGAGGGCCGTTCTGCTGTATGGTAGTGAGACTTGGTCTCTTCGGTCTAAAGATCAGAGGCGCCTTCACGTCTTCGATCATCGTTGTCTGCGAAGCATTGCTGGCGTCAGATGGCGCCAACGTGTCCGCAACAATGATGTGCGTAGACGAGTACTGGGTAATGATAATCATGCTAGGTCCTTAGAACAACAGATAGCACTGAATAAGTTGAGCTGACTCGGGCACGTGCTACCTATGCCTGGTCACCGGTTACCTAGGAGGCCCTTGTTCAGTCTGCTAGGTGTAAGGTAGCGCAAGACTCGAGGTGGACAGAAGTTGACTTGGCAGCAGGAGATGAAGCCACTGACTATAAAACTGGGTGCCGTTGGTCCGTCTCGCCTTCCGGGCTGGAGTCCACGTGACTCGCATTGTGATTGGCCCGAGACTTTACATGACATGGCTCGCAACCGACGCCAGTGGCGCGTCTGTTGCCGTCTCCTAATCGGATTGCCTGTTTAAAGTGTGTTTGGTGCTGACTTGTCTGCGGGGTAATGGCTGATTATGACGCGTGGCAGTGAAAGCCGCAAGAAGCTGTCTCGCCGATGCCGCCTTATTTTTGCACGATAGCCAACTGTTTGTGACGGTATGTTGTCTACACAAGGCGTAGGCGCATTAACCCTGAATGTTTGCTTAGGGCATTAAGGTTTTCAAGTGAGACCCCCTTCTCTCCCTCTTCTTATTCCTGATTTCATATGTCCTGCTTCTATGGCAGCGAAGCATCAGTTCAAATGACTGATGTTACTGCTGTTGAAGATGATGATGATATTCTAAGAATGGACGGATGTACGAAGTGAACAAAGGTTGAAAAATCTCAGGAGTCATTCGAGCGAATGATCTTCTTAAGACACCCACTAGTCTCCCTCCAGTGGCCACCTTCTTCAACGTGTTCTGCGTCGTTCTAAGGTAAGAAGTCACGATAACCCCGAGATCTCTCTCGTTAGTGGTATTCCTGAGGAGCAACCCACCAATGTGGTATGCACCGTATGGTTCGGTGAAACCCATTGGGAGAACAGCGCATTTATCTCGGTTTACTGGCAATTCCCACTTGATGGACTATTCGTGTAGCTGGTCTAGAGCCCCTTGTAATCTGTCCGCATCCTCAAGGCTGGATACGGTTGACCACAGCTTGAGGTCATCGGCGTAGACCAAGCAGTCGGTTTGAAGTGCCGTCGGTAGATCGTTAATGTATAGTTTGAAGAGCTCTGATCCAAGCACTGATCCTTGGGGAATGCCACTATAGACACTGGAGCAGAGAGGGTTTGGTTCACTTGTACGCGCATTGTCCTACCTCTTAAGAAATCGGCAATCCAGGAGAGATTTCCTGTAATGCCAATTCCCTGGAGCGTATGTAGCAGTCGTATGTGTAGAAGTTTAGCAACGGCTTTACTGGAGTCAATGAATATTACGTCAACCTGTTTTCGGGCATCTCTGGCTTCTGCCCATGTTTCCCTGGCAATGAGTAAGTTAGAGGTTCATGGGCGTGCTCTCCGGAAGCCATGTTGAGCAGGTGAGATGACGTTTAGATTCACACAGTGTAGCTGGAGGGCGCACTTGACTATTCGTTCCATGGTATTGCATACGACCGCTGTCAGGCATATTGGCCGGCAGTGCGCTGGGTCTTGTTGGTTTCCCCCTTGTATTTGGGCAGGACGGTACCTGCTTTCCAGCCTGTGGGTATGCAGCCGACTTCGAGTGATTGCCGAAATAGTTGGCAGAGAGGGGCGGCGACGTACTCAGCCATCGTTTTAAGGAAGCTGGGATGCAATCCGTCCGGGCCTGGAGTGGAGTTCGGATCCAGTTCGAGGAGCAGCTTAGTGACTACCTCGGGGTTAATTTCAACTTGGTCCATAGAGGACTAGGGTGCAGGCAAACACTTGTTGAGTAGACCGAGAGGTATTGCGCAGCCAGTAGGTTTGCTTTTCTATCATCGCCGTAGAGCACGGTACCTTTGTAGCGCCCTAAAAGATAACTGCTATCTTTCATGTACAATTTAATTGTTGACCGATTGTACATTACTCCTTCTTGTTTTAATCTTCCTTACAACCGGCTCGTCACTCGACAACCTTGTAAGTTCCCGCGCTCACGTGTTCGCTCTCGTCTCGCTTCATCCGTCCGCTTCTTATTGTAGCCCATCGAATACAATCCGCTGTGTCCGACTCCCATTGCCTTCTGATATCCGCGCTTACTTTCGCGCACCGTCTCGGACTAGTATTAACTAGTCCTACAAATTGGTGACCCCGATTCGCACGCGCGAATTCAACTTTTTTTCTCGTTTGTATTTTTTGGTGAGTTCGTTCCTTTTTCTCGATTATATACCTATATTCATTTGTTTCTTGCGTAATTTTGGTACTTTGATCGTGTTTTTGTTCATCCTTTATCTTTTCGACTCACATTTCGAGAGTGGCATCTGAGTCGTTTCACAGCGTAACCATGCTTACTTTGGCTGTTCCAAGTTTCATGGAACACAGCCCAGAGGTTTGGTTTAAGATATTCGAGATCGAACTGGAAAATAAGGGCATTACGGCGGACCGTCCGAGGTACAATCAGCTCGTCCCACGCCTTCCTTCGTCGGTTGTGACGCTGGTTGAGGACATTCTACTCTGCCCATCGAATGAGGCAAAGTATGAAACAATGAAGCAAGCGATTTTAAAAGAGTTACGGCCCAGCGCACGAACTCGATTTGAGCAGCTCAATGGTCTCAAGCTTGGAGATCGCAAGCCGTCGGCGTTGCTCCGCGAACTTCAGCGCATCGCTGGTCCCTTATTCTTGAGCGAAGAAGGGATAAAGGAGCTGTGGTTTGCACGTCTCCCAGAGCCATTGCCGGTATTGCTGTCCATGTTTATAGATACACCCCTGAAAGAATTAGCTACCAAGGCAGACGCTGCGTTCGAACGTTTTCCGCAGCAGACGACCAGTAGCTCCGGTGACGTATTCTCACCGATGAAAACCGAATCTCATGTTTGCTCCCAGTCGTTAGGCCGATCTGACTCTAAAGACGAGGAAATTGCGCTACTTCGCAGCAGGATAGCAGCAATGAAGGCTTCGAAGCAGCGTGTGCCACGGTCAAATGCTGACCACGTTTTGGCTACCGTTCATTGCGGCTCGTCTGTGCCTGCACCGAGTACGTCACGTTCGGCACGAAAGCGCAACATTTTCCCTACAAGTTCTCAGTCAGATAATGTCAAACCCGTCGAAGAAGTATGTTGGTATCACCGCCAATACGGTGGAAGAGCTAGACGTTGTCGGGCTCCCTGCATTAGGCACGACCCAGCTGCTTCAGGGAAAACGAATAGCCCGCATACTAGCACGACAAACGTATCATTCAATAACCAAGCAAACCGACTGTTTTACGTTAAGGATCGACGTTCTTCCATCACTTTCCTCATCGACACGGGAGCGGAAGTCAGCGTCATCCCAGCGACCGCTAACGACAAGCACTCAGAGCCTACGTACAATTTGCGTGCGGCCAACGGTTCTCCGATAGCTTCATTCGGTCAGCGCATGATGAACCTGGACCTCAATCTTCGCCGAGATTTTCAGTGGGTCTTCATGGTTGCGTCTGTACCCTTCGCAATTATCGGTATCGACTTCCTCCGACATTTTGGGTTGCTTGTTGATGCTGGTCGCCACAGACTTTTAGACGACCGTACTAAACTAGGGGTTGAAGGCGTTCTTACGGACGCCCCGATAATCAGTCCCGTTTTTCGAATCGCCGATGTACCGTCAGATTATGCGAACCTACTGTCTGAATACCCGCGACTGGTACGACCAGCTGCAGAGCTTCCGCCAGTCACGACAGAGGTCGCTCATCACATAGTCACGCGTGGTCAGCCAGTTAGCGCACGACCAAGACGGCTTGCTCCTGACAAACTACGTGCAGCACGAGCTGAATTCGACCACATGCTTCAGCTCGGTATCGTCAGACCGTCCAACAGCCCATGGGCGTCGCCTCTGCACATGGTCCCGAAGAAGGTCATGGGGGACTGGCGTCCTTGCGGCGACTATCGAACCTTGAATACGGTTACCACGCCTGATCGCTATCCGATCCCACACATAGTGGATCTCACCGCCAGTCTGGCGGGTAAAAATATCTTCAGCAAAATCGACTTGGTACGCGCATACAACCAAATTCCGGTAGCCGAAGCGGACATCGCTAAAACTGCCGTGACGACTCCATTTGGTTTGTTCGAGTTTCTGCGCATGCCATTTGGCCTAAAGAACGCCGCGCAAACTTTTCAGCGCTTCATCGACCAAGTTTGTCGCGGCTTAGACTTCGCTTACGCGTATCTCGATGACATTTTAATCGCAAGCTCTTCACGAGAAGAGCACATGCGCCACGTACGAACACTTTTTGATCGTTTATCTCAACACGGGGTGACGATCAACGCAGAAAAGTGTTCGTTTGGTGTCGATTCAGTCAACTTCCTCGGCCATCGTATCTCCTCTGCAGGCGTCGTGCCACTGCAGGATAAAATTCAAGCCATCATCGACTACCCCGAGCCTCATTCTTTCAAACAGCTCAGGCGTTTTGATGGCTTGTCAACTTTTACCGACGATTTATACCCAACTGCGCCTCGCTGATGCAACCCCTCACGGACCTTCTCCGAGGGAAACTCAAGAAATTCGAATTTCCTGCCGCAGCACGCGCTGCTTTTAAGTCGCTGAAAGAGGCTATCGCCAACATAGCTTCTATAGCGCATCACGATCCGGCCGCCCCACTGTCCCTCAGTACTGACGCCTCGGACGTGGCAGTCGGCGCTGTTTTGCAGCAACGAGTAGCCGACACGTGGCAGCCCTTAGCGTTTTTCTCCAAACGCCTACAACCTACCGAATCTCGCTACAGCACGTTCGGTAGAGAACTACTAGCCGTATATCTAGCGATACGTCACTTTCGACACGTCCTAGAAGGCCGCTCCTTTGTCGTCTTCACCGACCACAAACCCCTGACTTACGTGCTCGGCTCGACTACCGACCGATACTCTCCTAGAGAGTCGCGCCACCTTGACTATATCGCTCAGTTTACGACCGATATACGGCATGTCTCAGGTGTGCACAACGCCGTCGCCGATGCACTTTCCCGCATCCAAGCTATCTCCGCTGACGCCGGCACTGCTATCGACTTGGCAGCCATGGCCACAGCACAACTCAACGATCCTGAGGTTGATCTACTACGCAGGTCTCCCTCATTGGACATACGACCCGTTCCGCTGACATCATCAGACGGAACTATACTCTGCGATTTATCTCTGGGCACGCCGCGCCCAGTCGTCCCACGCGAGTTTCGGCAGACCGTGTTCGACACGTTGCACGGCTTGTCTCATCCAGGCGTTCGTGCATCGGTTAAACTCGTAACCGCACGATTCGTTTGGCGCAATGTTAATCGGGACGTCCGTACTTGGGCAGCTGCTTGCCTTCCGTGTCAACGCGCGAAGGTGCACAAGCACACGAGAAGCCCATTAGGCACGTTTCCGACGCCAGACGCACGTTTTCATCACGTGCACGTCGACCTCGTAGGTCCTCTGCCGCCTTCCAAAGGCTCTGTGTATCTACTGACCTGTGTCGATCGATTCACTAGGTGGCCGGAAGCTATTCCCATACCTAACTGCTCTTCGGAAACAGTAGCGAAAGCTTTTCTGGAGCGCTGGGTAGCTCAATACGGCTGTCCCGCCATCGTGACCACCGATCGAGGGTCACATTTCTCGTCAACCTTTGCCACGTTGCTTAAGGATTTAGGCTGTCGCCACGTTCAGACGACAGCGTATCATCCGGCCGCTAACGGCATGGTGGAGCGTTTTCACCGCCAGTTGAAGGCAGCGCTACGTGCGCACGCAGATCCTTCATGGTCTGAAACGCTTCCCCTCGTTCTCCTAGGCTTAAGAAACACGGTTAAAACCGATTTCGACGCCACACCAGCGCAGCTAGTCTACGGTTGCACGCTGCGGTTGCCCGGACAGCTGGTAGCACCAGCCCCATGTACTTCCACTTTTGACTACGGAAGTTACACTGATCGATTGGCTCACCAGATGCGTGAGCTACGTCCACCCGCTCCTCGATCGCAGAAGACACCAGTGTACGTGCCCGAGAAGCTGTCTACGTGTTCACACGTCCTTCTTCGCGCAGACGGTGTTCGACAGCCTCTTCAGTCGCCGTACATAGGACCTTTCAAGGTGCTACATCGTGCGAGTAAGGCGTACACTATTGACCGCGGTGGTCGACGCGAAGTCGTCACCATCGACCGTCTGAAACCCGCCTTTATGGAAGAAACTACCTCGCCTACTTCGTCTAGTAGTGCTTCGTGCGACGTCACAACTCACCGCACCAGCTTACAGCATCCTAGTGCAGTTCAACCAGACCACGATCTCGGTCTACAAGCTTCAGCCGTCCCGACATCTCCCGAATCTAGTCCGCCGCCTCCCACGACCAATCGCCGTGGTCGGGAGGTGCGTAAGCCCGTTCGTTTCTCCGACTATGTACAGTGTAAATACTTTTAGCTTTGTAGATATTGTATATATTTGCCCCATTTTTGGTCGATTAACGTTTTGAAAACAAACAAAAATATCAAAAACCTCCGAAAACCTTTTTCGAAAAAATATTCAAAAACCAAAAAATTTAAACACGCAGATCATTCGTTTGTTCTTTTTGGCGTTTTCTGCGCGTGTTTTTCTATTTCTCGTCTCTACATGCCCCAAACCCTCCCCTTCGATCGACTGGCCCACACGAGGAATGTTTTCGAGGACCCTGGCGCGAACGCTGGTCGCTTCTCCGCGCGACGAGTGCCGCTTCTCCACGAAACGGTTGTCGTTTCTCCGCAGGACGAGTGTCGCTTCTTCGCGGGACGAGCGTCGCTTCTCCGTGGGACCATGGTCGTTTCTTCGTGGGACGAGGGTCGTTTTGGCGCGGGGCGGGGTGCGGCGGGGGGAGAGACCACTCCCAAGCGCACCGTTTGGCAGCAGCGGAGGTTGAGGTCCTGTCGGCCTTTTTCTGGGCTAGCCAGTTTTTTGTAGTCCGACAAGCCCGCTCCAACGGCTCGCCGAAATGCACCCTGCCCTGCAATCAATAAATAACAAATCACAAACGGCACAGCGGACTCCGACTTCCGACGAACCCCCATTTACACGAACGCTCGCTCATTTTTACTCGGCACGATTTTGCCTTACGAACCTTGTTTCAACAGTCCTTTTCGATTTCGAAGGCTTTCTATGTTCAGCCTTCTAGGGGGGAGCTCTGTAGCGCCCTAAAAGATAACTGCTATCTTTCATGTACAATTTAATTGTTGACCGATTGTACATTACTCCTTCTTGTTTTAATCTTCCTTACAACCGGCTCGTCACTCGACAGCCTTGTAAGTTCCCGCGCTCACGTGTTCGCTCTCGTCTCGCTTCATCCGTCCGCTTCTTATTGTAGCCCATCGAATACAGTCCGCTGTGTCCGACTCCCATTGCCTTCTGATATCCGCGCTTAATTTCGCGCACCGTCTCGGACTAGTATTAACTAGTCCTACACCTTTCTCAGTTGAGAATAGAATACTGTATACTGAATACTGTATTTTGGAGCAAGTAGAAAATAATTCTGTACAACTCCATCGGGTGATAATCAAAAAACATTTTAAAAATATAAACACGTCCGGTGGTTATCCTGAGATGGTTCAGCAACTCATTCTGTAGCATACAAAATGCTTGTTTACACAGTGAGTTCAAAAGTGGGTGATATCGTTGTCAAGTGGCAACCGTTCTCTGAAACGTATGTTAGCGAAGTGTAAATCCAACAAAGATTTGAATTTCTGCACAGATTCGGCCTCGACGACGTGTTCTGGCAGACTGTTCTAGGCGTGCACAACCCTCCGCTCGAAACACAGGGGGGTGTGGGATTTTCTTCAGATCAGGTACCACGAGTTTGTACCTGTGCCCACGTGTGGTGCATGGTACTCGCAAGTGGAGTAACGACCTCAGCATGGGGAAATGACCGAGATGTAAAATACGGTAGGTCATGATAAGATCCACTCGAACACGGCGATACGACAAGGTGTAGAGCCCAAGTTTCATGCACCGGTTTTCATACGATAAGCCTCTCAAGCTGGGGATCAACTTGGTGGCGACGTGTTGTACTCGTTCGATCTTTTGCGCTTCGCCGCGAGTGATCGGACAGTATGCAGGCGAGCCGTACTCTAGCATTGGTCTGACGGTGGAAGAGAAGAGGCGAGTGGCGACGTCCTCAGACCAAGTGCAGAAGCTGCGTTTCAGCGCCCAGAGCATGCGTAGTCCGTTTCGATACAGTTTGTTGGTGTTGTCGACGGACTTCAAGTCGCAGCGTGAGAGTACACCTAGGTCTTTCACAGAAGGTGTGGGATGCAGTGGTTGGCCGTCTAGGGTGTACGTTCAGCCGTGAACAGCCTTCCCGAGATTCATGAATAGGGACTTTGCCGGGTTGACCGGTAGGTGGACTTCAGCAGACCATACTGCGAGGCGGTCGAGGTCTTGTTGGAGAATGTCACAGTCATCGAGAGTATTAATTTCTCGCCAAATTTTGAGGTCATCCGCAAACAGTGCACACGGCGACCGTAGAAGCTGGGGCAGCTCGTTGATATGGATGAGAAACAGAGTGGGTCCCAGTACCGTACCTTGAGGTACACCACTGGTCGAGGGATACCAATCGGTTAGATGGCCGTCCACCTGTACCCTCCACTTTCTTCCAACGAGAAATTCATGGATCCATCGATGTAACGATCCTCCGACACCTCACAACCTTAATCCGTCTAGAAGCAATTCATGATTAACTTTGTCGAATGCTTTGCTGAAGTCGATGTAGATTACGTCAACGGACTTTCCCCGGTTCATTGCTTGCAACCATTCCTGTCTCGCCACAAGTAAGTTGGTAACACAAGAATATCCCATCCTGAATCCGTGTTGTGCCGGTGTCAGAAGTTCTTTCGATTGCAACAGATGTATTGGACGCTTTTTTACTATCTTCTCGATCACTTTGGCCAAAACGGGTGTAAGACAAATTGGCCTGTAGTTATCCACCTTAATGGGGTCGCCACCTTTCGGGATCGGCCTCACCACCAAACGCTTCCAGTCGTTTGGCAATGAGCCCTCAGACAATGATTTGTTGAATAGATCCGTAACAGCAGGCGAGATAATGGCAGCTAGTGATTTGATAATTAGCGGATGAAGCCCGTCAGGCCCTGCAGGCTTGGTGCCGTCAAGGTTCGCAAGTAGCAGGTGCACCTCGTCGACATCACAAACCAAACTGTTAAGTTCTACAGGAATGTTACTCGCTGAGATGGGTATGGACGCCGCGTCGTTTGCAAACACGGAAGCGAAGTGAGCGGCCAGTGCGGACGCGCGATCGGAACTGGAAGTTAGCAGGTGTCCGTCCGCGTCTTCCAGACATGACACGTCACCTTTTGGCTTCAAACGGCGTTTCACGTAAGCAAAGGTCTTCTTTGGGGACATCCTCGCGTCAGTTGCAAGCTTTTCTTAGAACTTCCGGCGCTTTATCAATTTCACTTTGTTGCAAATATTTCGCTGTCTTTTATATGCTTCGTAATCAGTGGCGGAGCCAGAGAGGCGAAATGCATCCCACATTCTTCGCCGTAACCGAGCCAGCCTACCATATTCCTTGTCGAACCAGTGTGGTTTGATTGGTCCGACTTTCTGAAATTTCAACGGCACAAACTGAGAACAAAGCGAAGCCAATCCTTCCTTTATTACTATCCAACCGTCCTCCACAGATGTAACATGCGGTAGAGACCAATCCATTTGGCTCGCTGCTCGATTTAATCCATCGAAATCAGTTTTTCAGTAGTTGTAAGCTGGTTCCATCGGAGCTACCCTCGGCAAGTTCAGTTCCATAGTGGCTATCAGCACGGAATGGTCGCTTTTAGATAGGGAATTCCACTACCAGTTTTGGGATTCCATGGCCAGTCCATGTTCATATTGTAGTCTTTTGTCTCGTTTTTTTCAGGGTGCATAGGTTTCTGACAGTACTGTACTCTAAGTAGCTTGATGTCAGTCCTGTGCTCTTGAGATGGTCCCATAGTTTCCGTCGTTTTTCATCAGGGATATTACGTCTTTATCAATCCATGGGGGTCCTTTTGATGGTGTTTTGCTCTTGCAGTTTGGAACAAACTGTTTAATGAGCCGCATCATCACAGATCGTGGGCGTTCCCATGCGTCATCAAGCTCCAAGGATTGCGGAATACTCCAGTTCATGTTACTTGCAGCCGTTCTTAATCTGGGCTGGTCAGTGCGCCAGAAAGTTCGACGCAGTGTCCCCTGATCGTGGATTATGAGGCGTCGTGTCCACTGTACAGTGATCACTCTTCCCAAGAGGTTGGAGGATCGTTAGATCTGAGACATCAGATGGGGCCGAGGTGAGAACCAGGTCTAGAATGTTTGGTGTCTGACCAGGGACCATCCGTGTTGGTGTCAAGACATGCTGTGTCAGGTTGCACTCGTGAACGGTATCAAGGAGATCAACATCAAAAGAGTCAGGTGGAAGATCACTGTGAAGGAGGTCCCAGATTATACTGGGGGCGTTGAAGTCAACCATAAGGAGACAGTTTGTTCCTAGGCTGTGGGTTCGCATGGAGCGTAATAGGTGGGAGCCACGTCCTGCAGTGGCTCTGTAGACCACTCCAACCAACAGCGATTGGTATCCGTCATGAATTCGACACCAGAGCATTTCTGACATATCATCCTTGTCACAGTCGGGTTCGACAATGTGGGCCCTGAGGTATTTCTTTGCGCAGATGATTACTCTGCCTCCAGACCTCCCACCAAAGCGATCGCATAGAAGCAGCTGATATCCTGAAATATGAAACTCCGAGTCAGATATATCAGATGATAGCCAGATTCCGGTAAACGCCATTAGGTCCGGTGGCTGTTCAGAAATAAGGAGTGGAATTTCATCTACCTTATTTCTGAGACTGCGCACGTTCGCGAGTATTACCCGCAATCCGCTCTTTATGTTTGAGGTCCGGGAAGAAGGGGGATTGGCCTCCATCGAGCTCTCTGAGTTTTTATGACTACGCGAAAACCCACTAGGTGTAGATCTGTTTCTCCGTTTGCTCTTCAGGTTCGCAGCTCACAGACAGCTTGGCTCATTCGGACTCTGTCCTCCGGGGAGAAGTCTTTCAGAACGTAAAAGGTTTCTCCCTTGAGGCGCGGGGTCCGTCTCAGGATGCGTTGGCATTCTTCTTCAGAGGTCGAAACTTGGCTGGGTCCTCTGGTTTTCTGCTAAGGTGGAAAGTAGAGATTAGGTTTATCCTTTGTTCACCTTCATCAAACAATATTGAGACTATTCGTTTAACAAAGGCTTGGTTGTCAAGTATCCTTTCAGCTGGGGTCTCTTTGCTGGATTCTGGGACGTTGTGATTATCAGGCAGCGGTTGCGAGAAGGCGACTTGTTTCGTTCCTGTGATGCTGGCTTTGGTGGGCATTGCTCAAGCTGCGCTACACTATTTAGGACAAGCTTTAGTTCCGCGCTTTTGGTTTGATTTCATCTTGGGCAGTGAGGACATCTTCGAGGGTTTGTTCTCAGCTATGGTTATCCTCGCTTTTGCTGAGGTGCTGGCGCTCGAAACTGCAGCATAGAACTTGCGCTTATCCATCAGCCCATTCCTGTTCTCACTGGGCAATGGTGTTAAGTGTAACGTGGTGGAGGACGCCCGGCTTCTTTTCCCTTTCGGTGTAGAATACCCAGACCCGGGCAGACACACTGATGAGGTAGGTATCTCGCTGTCCGAGTTAGAGACGGATTGCGCAGAAGCAGTATGTACGTTGAAGGGGTTCCATAGAAGCTGCTTGTCGCTGACCAATGTTAGACACGCGTCGCAGTGAAAGTTGACGCCTTTAGACGTAGTGCGCTGAAGACATCGGTAAAGATCATTATCAGTGTTACAACAAATTATGTGCATCCATTTGTCGCAGAGTTCGCATTGGACAGACTTTGAATGTGAGGTGACACTCTTCCCACACTCCCGCACTTGGATGTCATATCTTCCGAGAGAAAAAGTCAACTATAGTCAAATTTTGTCATAAGTGTCTATTCAAACACCTTTCTTCATGAGAATTTCACCTAAAAGACTAGAAAGCATACCACGCGATAAACCGCTTTTTTGACGTGGCATACTGATTCGATTCCTTGGCCTAAATATTGTTGAAAACGGTTTTTGAATAAACACTTGGAACAGAATTTGAGTTGTCAGATTCTTTTCATATATCGTGAACAGAAGTGCTCCAGTAAACACTTGCAACAAAATTTGACTGTTGTCAGCTTTTTCTCTCCGAAATTATGACGTCTAAGTGAGTTGACCGTGGCAAAGTTGTCACTTCCCGGTCAAAGGCCATCCAGTGCACCCTCTGCGAGAGGTGGATGCATATAGGGTGCTGTAACATTGGTCAAGATCTCTACCACTGTCTTCAGCACACTGCCT